CTCATCTCTTTTCGTCATATCATATATTCGTTTCTCAGTGTTCATTTTTATTTTAATGATTGTTATTGTTTTAATTTTTGGACGTTTTTGTAGAGGTGAACGAAAGAAGAAAGGATCGATCATAATTATTAATTGTCTGGCTTTTTCTTGTTCAATAAGTTTGTTCATTAGTAATTAGAATATGGTAAGAGGTTTACGGACAAATAATATAAAATGGACGTCTGTATAGGTTGAACTATGCATATAGTGTTATTGAGTGTGTTTATTTACACAAATCAATATAAATTCGACAATGTTTCTTGTTATGGATTAACATTAGTTGAGGACTTGAAGTTCCTGAGTTAAATGCTTGCTCACAAGGGTTGTGGATGAATGTGAGTTCCGAACGAAGAGGACGAAATAGTTATCTAGTGCTGTCTTTTTTCAACGGTATCTTCTGTTGATGTCAACCAGTGATCTCGACCATGTTCACACTGAAATAAATTCCACATAATCTATTAGGAAATCATTGAGTAATTCTTAGTTATTCAAAATAGAGGGATTAGTGGCGATATATCGATTTTATATATATATATATATATATATATATATATATATATATATATATATATATATATATATATATATTACTAAGGCTTTTATAGTTAATTTAGCTATGAATGCTTATTGGATCGAAAACGCCTTAGATCCTATCTCTGAAATTTTCACTGAGACTCCTAAAACATTTTTGGACATTAAGTACTTTCGGTAGTGAGCTTTAAAAATCAAAGTATTCATATACTTTCGTACTGACATCTATATCTGAGTAAAATAATCAGAGAGGTACAACCACTCAATACTCAGTTCAAGGAAATGACAATCTCTAACACTAACCTCGTGGTAATTTTCTTTTCAATCCAGTATTGATTGAAAGATCTATTTGATTTTTTTAGGTACAGTATTAGTTTTACAAAGATTCCAGACACTATAACTTAGTGATTTGAGCTCGATTGATATAGCTTTCGAAAAAAGAATCAAATGAATTGCCATTTTAAAGTTTATGGTCATATTATCAACTGATTTCATCGAAATTAGGTCTTCTCTTAGATTCACTATTATTATTGGGTCGTGGGAATTTTTAAATTAGGAAGCCAGTGCTTCACTGGTTCTCAAATTGATGTTATTTCTTTATTTAATATTACATTCTAAACTATACAAGATCTCCATAAAACTATCTAATACTCATCAAAAACTAACTTCAGCATGAATATTTTCAAAGTTTTAGTAAGAAGAAACGACTCAGTGGAGTTCACTCATTTAGAAAGTGAGACACAACCTATGAAAGGTTATCAAGCTATGTTAGGTGGTTAGAGGTAATCGAAAGGAAAACTTGAACTTGGGTTTCGTGCTAGTTCATACTTGTTAGTAATCATAATGAGTGTCTTTAATATCTAGAGAAGTTTTTATTTTTCCTGTCGGATTCGAATCCTCGTCACTCAGCTTCACACTGTTGGATGTTACTGTCTTACCATCTGGATAACAACTAACTTCTCACAGGAAACATCAGTTCTTTTTATATACTAGTTATACCTTTCTGACGAATGCTAAATAGTACAAAACCCAGGTTGAGTAGAGTTTTCTATCGATTAACTTCAACCTTTTAGCATTTTATCATAGTGCACAAATTATCAGGCCACATTTTGCAACTTGGTCAATAGAATACGATCAGCAGTATCAAACCTCTAGACACACTTGACGTTGATTGTTCCTCAATCACTTGTAGTATGATACAAGTTGTTCAACAGCTGTTGATTTGGAACGATTCACTAGAACTAACATGTAATTTATCTTTTAACTCACTCTCTCTCTCTCTCTCTCTCTCTCTCTCTCTCTCTCTCTCTATATATATATATATATATATATATATATATATATATATATATTACAGTAAGTAAATCTTTGTTCTGTTTACTTACCTTCTTTGTTTTTCCCGGCAAGTCGATATGTTTTTCTCATATTCTACCTTCCTTTCTTACTGTTTAGTTTACAATTGATCCCATACTTATATTATCTGCTGTCAGTATTTCCTCCTTACCCCCTTTCTCAGTCAACCTCATTTTTGGACGAATTATGGACGAATGACAATTGGGTTCAATATTACTATTTATTACATGTATGTATTACTAGTGACTACTACACTGCTACTACTGATTAGTAATGTTTAACAGCCTCTGCAAAACTATCGATTAACAAAAATTAAATTTATTTATTTATGTCTTCTTGACCGGTCTGTATAGAGATTGATTTATTCTGTCGTTGTTATGGTTTTTCTCCCCTCTAATTCATCTCCCCTGATTACCATTACCATCGATTATTTATTTATAATAAACAGGTTTATCTATTTTAGTTATGTTTACTCTAGTATTCTTCTAAGGTGATGGCTACGCTTTGGAGATTAGCATAAAATGTAAAACTACCCAATAGGATGATGAATAGGAACCTTATACCCCTTTCATTTCTTCATCAAAATAACACTTCATAGTTGTAATATTTATGTTTATTGAACAGGGGAAAAGTCAATGAATCACTTTCATCATTCTCATCGATAATCATAACAACGACAATAGACGATTTCATTGTTTTATTTTCTATCTCATCTAATTGTAATCTAAAATTCGTGTTAAGTATAATCATTATTACTGGGCAAAAATATTCTTTCCCGTAATGTATTGATTTTTCTTTTGTGAAAAAGATGAATAACGCCCTTTTTAATAAAAAGGTTATCGATAGTAATAAATATATGATTGTTTATTTCAGCGCTTGACTTTAACTAGTAAATAATCATTAAAAAATCAGTGAGATTAGTTAATGTCCGAAGTGAGATTAGAGGAAGATAGCAGGATTGTTGGCAATGAATGATGATTGCTGTACAATATCGCAAGTTGACTCAAGTGAGATCACTGGATGCTAAGTCAGTAATTGTACTGAAACGTCAAATTCTATGATTCAATCTGTGAAGAAATTGTAGCTTTGTCAGAATGATGATTTTAATATGATTTCGAAACTTTTTTATTGGTCGGAGTAAAGACTGAGTTGAGAAAAGGACTGACACAGCACTTCCATTGTTATTTCGGTTATTTTAACACAAAAGAACTATCGTTTATTAACAAAAAAACTCGATAATCTGAGGTCCTTCTAGCAGTCAGGTGAACATAAAGTTTGTTGATATATGATTTCCATTTAAACATTAAAAACACGAAGTTCAACATAGGGATCTCTTTCCAAAGAATCACCAAGCTGTACAGCCGTATATATATAGGAATTTTTATATTCAAGTACTGGTTCCATGAATACATGAACAAGGAATAAACATGATAGTGTAATCGAGAGATTTGTTACTAAACACGGTAATCAATTAGTTGTAAACAGCTCAATCTTAAAACGGATCAGTCGGGAACTGCGTAGCTTAGTATGAATAATAATAATAGCACATATTTGAACTGAACCAGCTCTAAATACAGTGAGAAGAACGATAACCCCCCCCCACACACACACACATTTACATGTACTTCTTACAATTTTTATCTACGTAGTATTTATGACTGGAACTAAAAACAAAGATTACAATCATGATTTTATTTGAAACATTTGCTCGAAGATTTTTAATTCACAATCAATAAATTCTCTCCTTATTCCTTACTCAATACATTTAAATAGGACATACTTGATTGATTTAGCTGGTTATACCAAAGAACTTTATGATGAACACAGATACACACTTAAATTCTTCTGTGTAGTTATTTAATAATAGAAACATGTCAATAGTTGGATTTATCTTTTTTTTAAAAGGTGCATTCAGTTTTTTATTATTATTGTTGGTATAGTGAACGAGAACACAGTGGGTACAATCAAATGTATTTTAATACATTACAGAATACCTTGGTAAAATCTGAGATCCACACAGTAATACTTCATTTGCGAAATATCCATCAATCGTCTCAGACTTTGTTGTTTCTTCGTTCCCATACCAGTCACTCTGTTTCATCTACTTTGATTTGTGTAGAGCAGATGGTTAGTAAATATCATTATCCATCATATAATGTATGTGGTTCATAGTCCATTACATAGACTTGTGCTTGGTAAATGTGCGAAATTAGTGTAATACATATGAGTCACGAACACATACACACGAATCGATAAGGCAATTTTACTACTTCTAGGTATAAACTAGAATTACATTTGACTAATCACTGATTAATGAGTAATGTTGTGTTTATCTAGACGTTTAGTACTGCTGATCGAATTCTATCGATCAAGTTGCAGTATAGTCACTAGTCTGAATGACATGACATTTTATACACTTTGTTGAGATTTTGAATGGTTGAAGATAGTCGGCGGGAAACCCAGTGCACTAATGAGGAAGCTGATGCTCTTTGTGCGATTCAAACATTCATCTCCTAATTCCACAGTCTGTGGCATTACTGCTGACATGTGTCTAGCCTGAAGAGATCAGGCTATATACATGAGCAAATTTATATCAATAAGTAATCATTTTATGCTCCAGAAAGTCACTCACCAACTTAATGAATCACTCATGTTAGCCAATACTTGTTCAATGGATGCTATATTGGTCATTTATTAAAATAAATTGGTTCGAGTTTCAGTAGTAGTGGGTCGTCAACCGGCACGTCCGCAATTAGAAAGTTCCAACCAAGGAGAAATGTATATTCCGGATTCTGTTGCTAGCTCCTACTCACAAAAAGAGAAATTTTTAGGCTCAGCAAACATCACTGGCATTCATATACGCGACTATAGACAGTCTGATTAATTCAGTCTTGTTTCGCTGTCATTAATGTGAAAAAAGCAAATTTTTACAATTACTAATTGTTTCATTATTGTTGTATGAATTAGGATTTTGTTTTTTCGAAAAACAGATACATTCTAGTGCTTTCTTTGGATACTTGTCATTTTCATTTCTTGTTTTGTCCTATGTATTTTCCTTACTTTCTTCTTTATTTCAGGAACGTGATCTAAAACAATATTTACACGATTGTCATGGAATTATGCATTCGGATAATGTCCAATTATTTCTATACCAGTTATTACGTGGTTTAGCTTACTGTCATGAACGTCGTATACTACATCGTGATTTAAAGCCACAAAATTTATTGATCAATAGTAGAGGAGATTTGAAACTGGCTGATTTTGGTTTAGCTCGCGCCAAATCAATTCCGATTAAAACTTATTCTAATGAAGTTGTTACATTATGGTAAGCTAATTGTATATGCATTTGTGCATACCTGAAGGTGTATATATCACCAATACAATTTAATAACTATATATTTTTGTATATGCAAGGGTGATATTGTAGACAAAGTTATTCTTAAAGACCATTTAACTAGAAACCATCACTTTGGGAAGCATTTCATACGGACGTTTATTGTGAGTATTCTATAATAACCGCTGATTTGAAGATTTCTGGGCTAGTGGTGTTGGGGAGATCCAAATATTCCTCGAGAAAGTTCAGAGGGGCCCTAAAAACACTGGGAAACATTTTATCCAGTTAGAATTGAATAGAAGTTTCTCAGAAACATCTAGAAAGGGAAAACTCACAAATCACATTCTTGATTGATTAATTACCTATCCTGCTACCATGTTTAGTACGATTCCAGAACCTTCCAGAAGCCCAAGGCCATTTGGAATATTATAAATACCCTCGATTTTCTGTACAAACCAACCTTGGAGTAAAGCGTTCTTTTCGCAGCTCGAGTCTTTTCTCTCGTGTTCAAGTTGTCGTGCAGATTTAGTTTAGGGTTATTAAAAAAGATTAGGAAACCGATTTAGGCGTTCACTTAGAAGATTTATCATGTTGTTATCCTGGTCTTCTAAGAGCTAGGTGGGTATATCATTCATAGTGGGACATTTGTCTTATATGTTAGGAAACGTCTAGTTTATATCTTAGTAAAGGACTCAAAAAAAGAGAAAAAAAACTGAGGCATAATCTGTTCGGCAACGTTATAATAGTTGACACTAATCACTTTGTGGATCAAACGAGTTATCTGATATTTGCTTGATAAATATCACAACCAATCTATCGAAGTATACACTCTTAAATGTCGTTTTCATTATGTATTAACATTAGCTGTTGAATCGGTCATCACTTATGATTCTCAACATCATAGTTTACAGAAATAGTTTTACACTATAGGTTCATGTTACTCTATTCTTAGTTTACTTCAACTCCCTCCCCCATAAAATAGCAATGTTTATATGGATTTTTTTAAGAAGCCTAAAATAATGACAGAATAGACTGACTAATATGTGATTATTTTCCATTCTGTAGCAACATGAATTCAAATCTGGAGTAGAGGGAGATAACTTCTAACTGACTCAATTATTTGAAATGTTCATTTTTTTACATTAGTAAAAAGAACAAATTGAGTGAAGAGATTTCTTTTCAATTAGTTTTTTCATCATGGCTCTATACTGATACATAGATATACTTGATTTACAACAATGAACTGACACTCATCGAGCAGAGTTGCGTTACGTAATAACTATGTAATGTCACATCGATTATAAAATAGTATTGAGTAATTGAACGGAAGATGGTTATAATATTCAAAGTAATTATTCAGAAAATCAAACACTTGCTACATCGCATAATATACGAAAAGAACTAACAAAATATTTTTGTGAATGGTCAGTAATATAGTAGTTATATAAGAATCAAGAGACGAATGTTGAAAATATATACAAGACAAAAGTGGAAGAAATAGGAAAATTGTTTAAACTTTTTTGAAAGAATGGGTTTAATCAAAGTTCAGCTAAAAGCTCACTCCTATACCGATGGCCAAAGTATCGTGAGTGGTTATACAAATGTCTTTTGAATCCATAGGTTAGGTTTGTGAACATGGATTACGATAGCTTCAGTAATATGCAACAGACAAACTCGTAAACCATATGATAAATTTGATGGAATATGGTCGATAACTTTAAAAGCTTTATTCAAGTCGACCTGATATCTTATGTCCATCAAGTGAGCGAGAATAAATGGAACTCTTGGTGACTGTTACCTGTCCTTTACTCAACCAAGACGGATGGTGTTCCGGCATGCGATGATAGACTTGACGAGTTGTACGCCCTATATAACTAGCTCCACAGGAACAGTTGAGTTGGTAAATACACATGGATGTGGCGAATTCAGACAGTCTGTCTTTATTGACGGTATTTATTATGGGACGGTTGTAGAAAACCCCATTCTGTTTGGCTGCAGTAAATATTTTCTGCACCACCTTTCTTAACCTTTGAGTCACAATTACTTCAGTAGCATCATCGTTTTCTGTCATGTATGATCCGATTAAAAAAATGTTTTTTTATCTTCTAATCTTAGAATACATTAGAACTAATTAATGTCATGTATGTTTATCATGCTTACTGATTTATTATTATTTCAATCGTTGCATAACTAATTCATATCAATATATTTGATTGATATATGTTGTGCACTATTGTTAGTTATCATTTCTGATAACTGACCTTCATAATCAAATTTTAATTTGTTCAAATAAGATATTTTATATTAGTTTTATTATTATTGAAAAATACCGAGAAATATCGAATGATCGTTGTGTATGTTCATGTGTCTTTGAAAGTTACCTACGAATCAGATTTATTAATTATTATTATTATCATGTTTATGTACTATTATTCATATAATCATACATCACTATGGGTATGATTTATATATTCATCATGAATTCCACTGTATGTTATCTAGAACAATCCTTACTTGAGATATCTATTACTCATGGTAAACTAACATCTACCTCGAAATACAATCCTTATTGGTGTAGAAGAGTAAATTGTACGAAAATTAAGGGTGGTTATACCAAAACTGTGACATTAGTCCGTGAAGTTATTGACTGTTGATTTGAGCTATGTGGCTGCAGTCTGTACGACTATTGTAACTAATAGTTGGAGATGTTAAGTGACATAGTTCAGAATCAGTTCTACTGAATCTGATGCGTCCACCTCTAAATCTTGAATTCTAGTATTCCTTCCTACATTCTGTTTCCTCTAATTATGTTCTCAATATTTATTTGTTCTTGCTATCATTGACGCTATAATAATTTCAACTCTTTCGTAGTACATCTTGTTAATTGTAACTTTTCTTGTTAATGTGGTTTGACAATTTTGGCTAATGTACATTTGTACCACACTCTATGTTTATTATGACTGACTAAATCCTTACTTGTTTGTCTCATCCTATTTTTTGTGTAATTTTATAGTTAACTTTTATGTTTAACTAACATTCCAGGAAATAGACCTTTTTTAATTTTTCTTATAGATTAATTTGAATAACCAAAAGAAAAATTAACTCGTTTATTGAGATATATTTTCACGGTTGAATTCACGAGTCAATCTGAGCTAGACCATCATTGAAAACTTGGAAGCACTGTGCGACTGTTTCGTCCTAGTATGGGACTCATCAACAGTGCAAATCCACTATCGACTCATGAATTCAATTGTGAAAATACTAAAATCTCTACAATTTCCCATACTGAAATATCTTTGTTTATACTTAGAAATTGAAAATTACCGATGGCAACATCCGTTTGAATAATCCGATATGTAGATCAATTTCCATTTTTTATATCAAACCAGAAAAAATGAGTATGATTTGAAGTGAATTTAAATAATTAAGAATTCAATTATAAAATTGACATGACAGTTAAAGTACACTTGAATTTCAATATGAATCTATTGTAACTTTCGAATTCCAGTCTATGTATTTCAATTTGATCAACTAGTTAGTGTCATTAGCCATCATGCATGAATAATATATCTAAGAACTATGTAGTACTTAGACTTCTAATGGATGGTGATAAAGATGAGTTACAATCAACAGTTGCCTTAACGTGTACATGTACATGCACACGCACACAAACGCTTGTATATTTACATGAATCTTTAATGAGAATTTCACTAATTATATATACTCAGCACCTCTATACATTAAATGAATATTGAGGAGGCCCACAATAGGACGAAAAGGTCGTTCAGTGTTTCCAGGTTTTCCATGATGGTCTAGCTTCAATCGACTCATGATCTCAACTATTGAAACTGCAAAAATAATCATTGAAAATATTGGATACGATACACTTAGTAAATATTGAAAATATAAAACCTCGTCTTAATGAATTTGAATAAATAATTAGTCTTCTGAGTGGTTGAGTGATTTTATTGTACGATTTTCGTGTTTTCCATAATTTTGGTAAATTATTTTTTTCACTGTTTTTGTGGTTTGTTGGATACAGTGTCACAGACACAGGAAGACACGAAGACGAAGTAAGAGGTAATAAGCTTTTTTAAAATCCTTTTTTCATATAGAAAGATTCGATATATAACACTGTGTGTGTGTCATGTGCTCTGAAACCCCTTCAAAATGTTTGTTTATTGTTACCACTAGAAAATTCTTTGAATCAATAAATAAGGATTGCAAAGATTTTTCTTCACGAAAAATGAAATGATTTTTGGAGAGGCTAAAAACATTATTGATGTTAAGTTTCTTCATAAATATGAAAAATCTTACCAATGTATCGTAATAAATTTAAATCTGCGTAAAATTTATCTTAGTGACATACACATGTTTTAAGCTGTGAATAGTCTCCTGTCACGTAAAAAGGAACTCACTAAACAACACCACTGATGAATGACAAAAGTTGTTCATCGTGTTTTGTATCAGAGAAATGATCAAGTTTAAAGATGACCTTAATTTTTAGATCAAGTGGAGACGTACATATTGGTTCCTCAAATTAGATATCTAGTACTATTGATCATAAATTCAGTGTGCGTTGAAAACGTTTCCAAGAGTTTATTGACTTGGAATGGCTACTTAACGGCTATATCAGTTGACTTTGAGCGAATAAACCGCAGGTTCAAACCCTACTCCACCTTATTCTACTTTGGGCAACTGAACAGTTTCACTAACTCATAAATATAAATAATATAGTTTAAAGCCACACTAGATCATCAGTCTTGTTTATTAGCTGTAGTTTCTTGCTATTTCCTTTCATCCTTAAAACTCTAAAAGTGGTCATTTTTAGAGAGAGGGAGCAGCATTGAGACGATGTGAAACGTAAAACTGTAAGGCATCTGAAAATTCTGACTTCTGAGGGCTTCCAGGAATGGCTGCAAATTTATTTCTGTAAAAGAAAAATATTCTAAAGATAATAGAAGTGCTATTACTTACTTACTCGTGGAGCATATGTCACCGACCAGGATTCTCCAATCTACTCTGTCCTGGGCTCTCCTTTCCGGTTTTTGTCTAGTACTATTCATTATTTTTATGTCTTTCTCCTATTCGCGACGTAATGTGTTCTTTGGTCTCCCTCTTTTCCTCTTTCTTTGATTATTCCAAGTTAGTGCTTACTTCGCGATACAGTTTAATGACTTCCACCATGTTGTGTCCTATCCACCTCCAAAGTCTTTTCCTAATTTTCTCTTCAGTTGGAAGCTGATTTGTTCTCTACCATATTAGCTTGTTGCTAATATTGTCTTTTCCGAACAAGAAATATTTCGACTTCTTTCATAGGTTCTTCGTCAAGTGTGATTATAATTGACATATTAGATTTAAATCTTGTAAGATAAAATGTTTTTATAATTTAGTTCACATATTTAATAGACAAACAATAATATGCAAGTCCATTAAAATTTTTGTTTTACTACTTATTAGACAATAACATCACATATCAACTATATAGTATATAGATTCATAGTTATAAGTATTATTTTAATTAAATAAATTCTTACTTTGAATTACAAAATTGTTAGTATCTCTAAGCTCAGTGTAAATTCTTAGCATCCACTACAAAATACTTTATTTCTTTTAAGAAAAAAGAAAAAAAAAAAGAAAACATTCTTCATATTTTAATTAATGCTATGGATAACAAATTTATTCTTTTTTTTCTTCTTTTCATTGTTTTATTAATACAATAAATGACCTTTCAAAGAATTTTCTATTTCTGTTTTGCTCAATTTCATGGAATCACATGACCATTAAAAATGGTACAGTGAATATTTTGACTTATTTATTTGCACTTTAATTGAATGTTCTAAGTTTTCTCATTTTTTTATTTACGTGTTTTCCTTTCAAGTTGTTTGTTTTTTCTATGTCTCTTTTAAGGATTACATAGATACAAATATGTTTTTTTTTCTTAGTAGGTGGATCATATTGTATAATTGGTTGTTATAACTCACAACCATTAGGCTCCGAGTTTCAATCTCTCTCTCCATATATATATATATATATATATATATATATATATATATATATATACTTACCTACCCATTCTAATCAATTGGTCAGCCATGGACAACTTACATAAACACATTTAAAAGAAAGTACTAACAAGAATAAATGACAATACGAATTCAAAATTTAGAGGAATATAAGCCACTATAACTAATTTTAGACCATAATGTTACTGAACATCAACCGATTAATTAGTTATTGCGTGGGCGTCAAACTGGATAGTTTGTACCTACTTCATTTGATTCAATTCACTTGTCATTGACTTTATGAACTGATGTAACGGTATCTTGGTTTGACCGCCTCTAGATTTTTCTTCTAACATGCTTCGCTACTTTTCATGTATCTTATTCATTTGTATCAATGCTTTTTTCTCCTGTCCAGGTACAGACCACCAGATATTTTGTTAGGTTCAACGGAATATTCTACTCATATTGATATGTGGGGCGTCGGTTGCATATTCTATGAAATGGCTACTGGTTGGCCACTTTTTCCTGGCTCTACTGTAGAAGAACAATTGACACTGATTTTTAAACGATTAGGTAACCACTGGATTGTACTTGTTATTACTGTTATTGTTATTTAGCATTAATTAATATATATCATATGTACGCTATTAAATAGTATGTATGTGGGGTATTTCTTTCAAGCACATTTTTGCATCTAGCCGTGTGGAATATAGGATGTGTGTTTCATCGTATTTGGAACTCATCACTTGGATATATCTGCATATCAGTGTTCATGTTCACATTAAAACTCAAACTCACTACCTTTCACTCCAAACACTAACACGTTATCCACCAAGTCCAAATGGCCACTGAATTGTTCAACGAGTATAAATGAAGAAGTATCAACAAGACATTACACTTTCGTTTTGCTGATATTCGAGACTCTAAACGATAAGTTTCCACTGTACTATATTCATCTTAATCGATTACAGTCCTGAATATCAATAACAGGAAACTACAAACCTTTGCTAATGTAATTCTTTTTGTTTAAATATTAAGAATTCAATACTGTTGTGAAGCACAAATTAATATGCATATAAATTAGTAATATATGACATTATTCTTAGTGTTTGAAGAATTATACTGAACTTTCAAAAGAGGGATAGGTTAAAAATTTCAATCACTTGTTAAAATTTAATCTATGGGCTAATAATGAATGAATTATTATATAAGATTGACCACCTAACACGGTAATTTTTTTATTTAACCACTTAGCATTCAAATATATCTTGGTACAAACCGTAAACTTTCTACAATTGGTAATTATTAGTGTTTATACGCCAAATGTAGCTTGACACTAAATGTAAGAGTTTATACTTGGTTATAGAAATACATTTATATCATTATTTTGTTGTGAAGTACTATACATGATTTAACTAGTAGTTGTCTTATATCAATGACTGAATAATCCAATGATTTGATCCTGTTGATAGGCAGAAGGTTATACATCTACAATAAAGAAGAGTCGTAGATTGAGATGAGACGTCGACCCGATACTGCGATTTTTTAAAAATCGTCTTTCCAGTTCATATTAGTCAATGGAGTAAAACTTCAGGAATCAGGAAGTGCTTAGTGTAGTGTATATAAGATTGGGAACATTAACGCTGGATCGAAATTAGATCTAGAGACTACAGGAGAATAAACATATAAAATTCTTTACTGGTTCATTCACTTAATATTTTGATGGTTACGTTCCATTTGTGTAGAAACTACATAGAAAACCACACTAAAGAGTACACAAAAACTGCAAAATGTACCATAGTTGTAAATCAGTTAAAACAAATTCAAGTGAATTTCAATAAACTTTTATATTATCAAACTCTTTTCCTCAAAATAAAAGTGTTAAGAACTATATCTGAATTCTCCTAAAAAAAAATAATCAGGAAACTGAAAAATGCTCACAGACAATTTTTTTAGCATAACAATGATATGAGGAAATCTCAGATAATATATACTTCGATAATGCAATGAGAAGACGAAATTTATCAGAATTATGTGATATGTTTACGCAATACATTTCGAACAATATGATCACAGACATTATCCTCCATTGCGAAACATTTGATTGAGACTGGTAATAAGGTTAACATCAAGTCAGCATTTGTAGTGTTATGTAAAAGCCTTCAAGGACTTATACTAAGGTTTGCTGAAGCCTTGGCTACACGGAAATTGAATCCTCCTTTATGTGTTCAAAAACTAATAGTCCTTACACTTAACCTACCCTGGTAATACTGATTTATTATTCAGAGTGGTAATCATATTGTTTTTGTGTACTTTAATACTATTTTTTTTCTTTTCTTTGTTATGTCTTACCTTTAACCTGTCTAGTTGACCTTTTAATTTTCATAGAACAAATGTCTTAACAAGTATATGTGTGATCAGATTGTTCGAAATGTATTGCGCAAATATATCACATAATTCTGATAAAATTCGTCTTCTCATTGCATTATTGAAATTTATCAAAGAAACTAATTGTTTTAGATAAACATATATATTTTTATACGTGTGATCGATTCAGAATCTAAGGTATCACTAAATTTAGTACCATGTCTTTATAAATGTCTAGAATTCTCACGTCATTAATAATCAAATAAATCACCCTTTAACTGATGAAATAATATGTTTTCCCTAATAAACCGTTATGGTTACCTAGTTTCCTAATGACTGATTTCAGAGTAGTTAGTTTATTGTTTAGGTAGTCTAGTGAACAAATTTCACACTACCATGAGTGTAGGTAGTCAATAATAAGGTTTTGTTTATTGGTCGTCACAATTCAATATTGAGAATTTCTCATTTGTACATTGTATCTGGGTTTTCTAAAAATAAAGTTTTTCGAGTTTTCCGTGAGAAATTATCTGAGATGGACAACGGTTTAATTGTGAAGCTTTTCTCTGCCGTGCTAGCTAAAATCATCAGTGTCTACATCTCAAGTAGAAGTGAACTCCAAGTATGTGCTAATAATTTTGTCCAGAACGACAATGAAAACTTCGTAATTAAACCATTCAGCTCAGTGAACATAATATCGTTGACATCACTTCTTTTGTTATTTAGCTCTGAGAATCGATTACTTGGTAGGAAAACCTGTATACCACGGGAATTTCATTTATTTTCTACTTTTTTATTCTCCTGCTGCGTTCTTCAAGTTGTTCTCACCTAGTTGTAAGAAAAAAGAATGTATCAGGTCCAAGTAGAGTTTCTTAACACCCTATAAATCATTATCAAGTTATCTCTTAGTCCATCGAGAGATAGTATAAAAAGATCTGACTTTTCAAAGCTGCCGCCAGAAGCTTACAGAATTTCTGGGAGCGATCTGATGCACCTTTTAAAATAGAGGCTTGTTATGAACTATAGGAAATTTCCTTAATCTAGATCTCTTTTAATTGTAAAGTTTTTAATGACAAGTGACAATCTCACAAACATGTTGAGATTTCTTCACCGGGATATAGAAATTGGCTAACATGTAGTAGTAGTAGTAGTAGTAGCGGTAGACTTTTCTGTTATCCAACATATCTGTCGATACATCACTTATATGATTTTTTTGTAGACATTATTCCCAGTTAATATTTACTACTACTATAAAAGTACTTGAACAAATCATATTAGTCATGCGATTGATAACGTCGATATAAATGTATGTAACCAATCATCTCTTGGGTCAACATTAATCTCGATAATAAAATACACATAAGGTCAAATAAATGTTTATTTCCTATGAACATTTCAATTTCTTTTCTATACAGTTTTGTTTATGCACACTTATGCACTTTTCAGGATAGTTTGCTGTTATGACCTCGATGTCTGGCTTTCTATCACGCGACTTATAGACCAGTCAGAATACGACTTATACAATTTCGCACTATGTCAAACCAATGACGTTCAACCGGTATGAGCAGTTTAGCGTCCTGATTGGTCCTATGTCCTCCTAACCCTTCCACTTGAGTCCAGAACACAATACCAGCTTCTGTAATATGAATCGAATCGTTTGTTTCAGACATACTCGGTTTATATATCAATCAGACAGACCACAACGTATTATAAAATAGAAAATAACATGTGTACACAAATTAGCCAAAAAGTGGCTGTGAACGAGGGGGACAGTAATTAATAGACTGAGCACAGCTTAAGAACCATAAATCGTACAATAATAAAATATAGGTCAAAATAAAGCTTATAATAAAAGGAATATAAATATACATAATGTAATTGTTGAATAGTTATACAATAAGAATATTTATAGGATATTAGTCCATTAATAGTCCTTGGAAGTTACCTGTAATTTAATCTTCACCGAGATATAACATTTTCATAAGTCAATATATTAAAAACTAAATCTTAAACATGAACACCAACGGCATTCGATAACTGTTTCATTTCTGATGAAGGACCTTTGTTACGCTTATTTGAATTTGTAGTTGATACTCGTTACGGATGAATCTCAATTGAAAGCATCATTATAAAACTAGGCAACAGCATTAGACAATGTTTTATTACTGGTATTGGACCTCTGAACAGCTTGAGATCGCGACCCCTCTGTGAATCGAGCACAGTGAAGTCTTGTACTAGTACAAAATAACCGTTTTATTAGACTGTCAGAAAAACTTTCAGTTTGTCCAGTCATTTAGTTCTCTTGAGATAAACCTTAACACATAAACATTTTGAAGTGTGTTGTATATTTAGGACATTGTGAATTAGCTTATGAGGGTTTTTTTATCCTACATGCGTGGAAAAAGTACCCATAAATTCAATCAAAAATAAGTAACATAAAGTGTATGAGAATCAGAATTGTATGTTCATAACTGAAGTGAGAGTGAGATAGAGGTGAACCGAATTTCTTTGTGTCTTTCAACTCTTTCGTTCCGGTGACCTTTAGTTAAATTATTGTCCATTTAAGTCTCAATAATTTTGTTTCATTGTGAACCTTTTGAAATGGTTTTTATAATTCATGTTTCGTAGGTCACAATTGACAGAGAAGAGGGATAAAGTGGGCTGATGACTTTGACTTGATTGGTTTAAAGTTATATCTATTCTTTTTATCGATTAGTCACATTCCAAATCTACCTGGTTCTAGGTACATCTGATAAATATAACCATCTGCTAACACTCATACCGTTGAAAAAGTTAGTGACTATCTGAACTCGGTAGATTAGGGGATAATGCGTCAGGATTTGAAGCGATAGACTGTGAGCTCGAGTGTGTGAACGTCAACGATAGGATGCAGATATATCCAATTAAAGAGCTTCAGATAGGACGAAACTTCCTCCTTTAACTTCCACTTTTAGCCGCAATTCATATCTATTTAGAACTTTGATTAAAAAAAAGAGGTGATATCGAGGCTATTCGCCCAGTTCAAACAGAAATACATCATTCACAGTCCTGAATATCAACAAACACTCACCAATTAATAATATGGATTTAGGTGTTTTTAAACAGTTACTTCTAAATTAGCTTTCAATCATAATCAAGTTTACGAAATATTCGGCAGTTATTTCGTCCTACTTTCCATCAGGCACACCATATCATTATTTCATTTATTTGGAATCCATTAGACGACATTTTGTAATCCCAGTCAATTCGTAGTAATATCGTAAACCTTATCCAATATCAATTAACTAAAGTCTAAACATATTACACTGACGAGATTCAGGATGACATATGTATGCCATTAACTCCTACTGTTTACTTCTGCGGAATTTGTATTGGCTAAGATAAAATTTAGATTGATATCATGAATGGATCAATGTTAGACCATCATTAAAGACCTGGGAGTATCGGACGGCTGTTTCGTTCTAGTATGGGACTCCCCAGCGGTGCGCATCCATGATCCCACTCGCGGGGCTCGAACCAAGGACCTTCGGTCTCGCACACTCATACTCAACCTCTAGACTACTGAGCTGACATCCGACAGTCCCATACTAGGACGAAACGGTCGTCTGATACTCTCAGGTTTTTAATGGTGGTTTAACATTGATCCATTCATGATATCAATCTAAACTCAACAATCTCCACAACCCCCTATGCCGATAAGATAAAATTGATAGTACTTAAACCGGTCCAGATTCCTTTCATTTTGGACAATCGTGTAGTTATAATAACATTTTAATCGTCACACAACAACGTACTTGTGTGTGTAATCCAACTAAGTAGTATCAACACATGATTGATGAGCGTAACTATTTGAAACAAGATCATCTTATCAAATTTTGTTCACAATATTAAACACTGATATCACACAAGTTATTATTTATTTATTTCAACACATAGATATTGGTACAATGAGGCACCGAATACATATGCGCCACACAAATCCCATTCGATATGTGTGAGGGCTGTGATACTGCACGGGTGCCCAAACCGAAGCAGGTGGTTTTCTTAGGGGACCACACCCCGAGCCTTCGACCTGAAGGTCTGACCCACAAGGAAGTGGAGCATCGTCAGGAGATGCAGTCCCATGGAAGCCGGTGACCAACAATTGGTTCATACGCCATTTGTCCCTGCAATATACTGGAACCCATGTGCACCATTGATTTGGTTTGGGATCCGGTTAAAGCCCCGGACATTCGCTTTTCGTCCTCTCATTTTCGTAAACAACACCCCCGCCACGAGAAGGCAGTTAGTAGGACTTCCCTGGCAGAGGCTATATACGCGTGGCCATGTGAGAGCATTTGGAGAGGGAGAGCGGACTCTCCCCACTCTCGACCGTACCAGGGCAGTCGTGCAGCTAGCAACGTGCGAGGACTTGTTCCACATTGCGTCAAGCGGCTGCACTTCCATGGTTTGGGGCGCGACGGCTAAGTTATTATTTGCTTATAAGACACTCTCTCATAGTTTATTAACAAATTGTTCATTAAATAGAATTAGAGATTACTAATAATAATCATTATTTTATTTATGTATTAATCAGTGATGTTACTCGTAGTCATGTTAAAGAATGAATTTATGGAAAGCGGAGTGAATACCGCTATCTTCTTGTATGTTTATTTGAAATGCAATTTATTTATTATTTTAGTCATAATTTGCTTATATTTATTGTCATTATAGGTACTCCAAATGAAACAAATTGGCCAGGAGTTACCAGCCATCCAGATTATAGTAAATCGCTTAAATACGGTCCATATCCTGGTGAACCAGGGGGTCTTCCACATTTAACTCCACGTTTATCACGTCGTGCACATCGTTTAATGGCAGAATTATTAGTTTTTCCTGGAATTCAACGAATCTCTGCTATAAAAGCTTTGAAACATGAATATTTTATTGATTCTTCCCGGTTTCCATTTCATACATTTAATAGTTTATCAGCAGATTCAAGTGTATTCGATGTTCCAGGTGTACGACTAGCATGTGATCCTGGACGTAGCGCCAGTCTACCGACAAATCGTATGAGTTCCTCAAGCTATTTCTCTTCAAATAATGGATATAATAATAATAATATTGTAAGATGTACAAATTCACAATTAAAAGTTAATCCTCATCATCGTCATTCACAAATTGAAATGAATAATTTAATGAAACATCGAAATAATCATGATTATTATCGTAATCAAATGTCCGGTTTATCAAATTGCAATAATGTTAAGATGATAGCGTCTCAATTCCAAAGTTATACTAACAATATCAATACTACTACTACTAATAATAATAATAACAATACCAATAGTAATAATAACAACAGCAATAGTAATCATTTCTTTCCTAAATATCATTGTGAAATTAGTAATATGCCTCCCCCGCCTCCTCCTCCGCACCAATCTATCTCATCGAATTCTATGTGTGCTTTACAAGTATATTTTAATAATACCGGCGGAAACACTACTGCTAACATTACTACTACTACTAATAGTAATAACAATGCATCTTGTCGACCATATTCAACAGCGTTCGAATCAAATTATCCTCTCCCTTCTATATCGAATTCAAGATCATTTATCAATTCGAATTTCGTGCTTGGCCCAACGAAATTCAATGATCAGTATCAAATCAAACCAGTCATAGGATCAACAATAATAGGGTTAGATGTAACAAATTGCACTACATCAAATAATAATAATAATAATAATAATAATAATAATAATAATAATAATAATAATAATAATAATAATAATAATGAAAACAGTAATAATACTACCACTGTTGTTTATAAACCGCAAACAGTAAATCGTTCTAATTGGTTAAATATTGGACGACAATCTTCAGGTGAGATATGATGTAATGTTCTTTTCACAGTTAGCCTCTCGCTTTCAGATAAATTCTCATGTGGAAAGCAATTAATAGAATAAAATAGTGATTTCTTTTCGATGAGTTTCATTTCCAAAGCCTTACGGCCGTATATGTATGTTTATTGCAGCTTTGAAATTGCACTCATTGACAAGGATTCCTTCGTTGAAAAATATTCTTTAGAGACTTAGTGTCAGTCACTCATTTGCAACGTATAGTTTGTACGTATATACATCGGTTCAAGTTGCCATACCCCATTACCACAGAGAGATGAAATTATCAGGCCAAATCCCACAGTAGTAGAGATAGTAACAGTATCACTGGTAATAGAAGAGATTAGACATCGAAGAAAAGATTCGAGAAAATACAACTTACATCACTTGTGGAGTAGGTAAGGTATCTGTCGTCTAACCTAAGGACGAGTTTGTTGCGCAGTAGTTCGTCCCGTTCTTCTTTATGCGTGTGAAACATGGTCATTACGAATGAAAGACATTTGCTGGTTACTGATATTCGATCATAAGTTTCTTCGGAGTACTACTCGTGTATTTTGGGACCACCCAGTAAGCAATGCCTGGGTTAGGAATCGAGTACTAGATAAAAATGGTAAATCGATTGATGAGGTAGTAAATCATCATCAACTGAGATGGTCAGGATATGTGTTACGTATCCTTAGCCGCTCCGTACCTTGACGAGCGGTGTTTTTTCTGGTGCAGAAGTAAGTTGGAAGAAAGCTAGGAGTAGCCAAAACAAAACGTGGCATCAGTCCATATAATAATCGATAATTATATTGGGCCACGTTAATAGGTGGAATCTCATGGACACAGGACCATCAAGGCCTCCTTAAAAAAAAAAGCAAGAGGGCATTACAATGAACGTCATCCAATGCTATGCGCCTATAAACGATTACAATGAAGAAATTGGAGATCAATTATACGATAAGCTGTAGTCAGTCGTTGAAAAATACCGAACAAAGAAATTGACCATTCTGATAGGAGACGTAAATGCCAAAGTTGGGATGGACAACACCAGATAGGAAGACAACTATCAACCAACACCAAAGTCAGAATTTTCAATACAAATGTCAAAATAGTTCTACTGTATGGGGCGGATACTTGGAGAAGTGTTTATTAACAGTTGTTTGCGCAAAATACTTCGGATCCGTTTGCCAGATACTATCAGCAACAACCGACTGTGGGAGAAAACAAACCAGATTCCAATCGGAGGCAGAAATCAGGAAGAAGAGCTGTAAGTGGATAGTACACACATTGAGGAAAGCACCCAAGTGCGTCACAAGGCAAGCCCTCACTTGGAATCCTCAAGACCAAAGGAAAAGAGGAAGACCAAAGAACACATTACGCCGAGAAATGGAGACAGACATGAGAAGAATGAACAGCAATTGGATAAAACTAGAAAGGAAAGCTAAGAACAGAGTGGTTTAGAGAATGATAGTCGGCGGCCTATGCTCCATTGGGAGTAACAGGCGTAAGTAATTACGTTGATAGGTATGGACTATCTCGTTGGGGTCAGCATGATCATCGTAACCAACATTCAGAGACCTTATATGACATTGTTCAAAATCGTTTTAAATAACGGTGCATCCATTATTAGTCTTCTCCCAAATCATGAGATTATGAATTCTCCATAACTTTTCTCATCTCACTAATTTGTATTTTCTTCTTGAATCTTATCTTCGATGCCTAATCTCTTCTATTACCAGTGATACTGTTACTATCTCAACTACTGTGGGATTTGGCCTGATAATTTCATCTCTCTGTGGTAATGGGGTGAGGCAACCTGAACGGATGCATATACGTACAGGTTTTATGTTGTGACTGACTGACCAAAAACACCTCCACTCTTTAAACCCTATTCTCGTACTGCCGTCATCGACTAAGAATGTACAAATGCCGGACAACATCGCTTGTTTAGAACAAATAGAATGAGATGGTTATATGTCTTCAATCTTTTAGATACTTTTTTTCCGGGCTTGTCGTATATGTATATTGGTACTCATATATACCGCTCTTTAAAATACAGTTTCCTAACAAGATATTACTTGCTACTTTCTTTTTGTGAGAAAGATGCTTTTCTGTGTTTTCCAATAGGTTGGTAGCTAGCTTTAGAGTTATCTCTTTTTGATATCCGATTACACTAATCGATTTAGTATAAGAAATTATCTGATCGTTCAAGATGCGTTTGTCACATGGTTGAAATTTATGAAGATATCTTCTAAAATATAAAAAGGGTCCTAAACATATATGTACATGCTTGCAATATAATCTATTTGAGTCAACAACTGCGACAGGCTGCCCAAATGCCTCAACTGAAGTGAATAGCTTCTTTAAGATATAAATGCAGTAAAACATTAAAATATATATTCCCTTGTTAATTAGAGGTAAGGTTAACATTTCACATTCCCAAACTTAACCAATCATCTCTTCAGGGTTAAAAACGACACCGATTATGTATCAATTACAATTAGACGACATTTCTGCTAAGAGAGTAATATAAATATAACAATATCGTATACACTTTGTTGGACGGATATCGAGTTAAAATTCATGTGTATGTAAAAAAATTAGGGAGCCAGTCATCAACTCATAAACACTTTTCAATGCATATAGATTTCATAATTGTATCGATAATAATTGGGATGCACTGTCTTGATTGACTAGTCCGTTTTTAAATAATTCACCGATACGAGACTTTAGTGTTCTAATTTAGCTTGGAATTAAAATCTCTCGCTCGATTTTATACATGGTTCAATCACACTATACTTAATTTTCTCTTCTCAAGGTCGATTTGAAGATCGCCGACGTAGTCTTTTCTCATGAGATCACCATTCTATTACAATGTACACAAATACATAAAGAGCAGGAGAATGAAATGGCCATAAGCGAGGTGTTTTGGAACCGCTTTATCTTCTCTCTCACAAGCACATACATCAGCTGATCATGACGACTACTACTTTGCAATAACTCTATTTCTTTATCTAACTTTTCCACTGTTTTTTCCCTTCAAACATGTACAGTCTTCCACGATGATTACTGTGTTGTCTACTAGTGATAGGCAACTGATAACTAGTGATTTGTTATTACCTAATTTACTGATATGCATCACATGATTTCTTTTTTGTCTTACTGTTCTTCCATTATTGTTGATGTTTTTAACGTTTTTTTAAACAAAATTTATTTGTGACTTGCTTTTGACTTTTATTCATGCATTTTATTTTTCACAATGTTTAGTTATTCTGTACCCCCTTGTAGCATATATATATATATATATCCTCATTCCAGTGGTGACTTTTCTTCTGCTACTCGACCACTATTCAATGTTGATGCTACACGCGTTCAACTTGTTTATCAGTTCATTTGAATATAATAAATATTCTTTCAATGTTCAAAACAGCATTTCACAAATCCCTTGATTATAGTTTTGTTTTCCTTTTGTTTGTTTGTGGTTGATAATGATGACTGTATCTTTCAAGCTGATCAGTCTCAGTCAAGTCAGTTAATATATTCATATATATGGTTTCATTTGTTTGTATCTATCCATTTGCATAAGAACAACAATAATCAATAAATATATATATGTCAAACAATGTATAACGAATGCCAGAGTCATACAATTTCATTTAAATAAAAAACTAAGAAAATCTCTTCAATTTGTCTGGTTTTTTTTCTGCCGATAGCGTGTGCAGTTTTGCATATAACCATTACAAGCATTATTAAAGTATAGAGGAAATAGTTGAAGCAATCACAATATATATAACTAAAATTGGCTTATTCATATACAGTAGTCAGTCATTAGTCCTCAATATGTATATTCTTTGATCAGCATTTCATGATTATGGCATAAATTATACAGATAGGGAAGTTTTTGTTGGTAAGTGGTCGAGTATTCAGTTATGAGGTACAATTAACAAGCGTTAAGCGATGGGTAACTTCACAGATCTGTATTTTTTTATGGATAAGATGATAGGACAACTGTCGTATTTTTTCATTTGTCTGGAGAGGACTATCATGTTAGCGCTTAACAGATACCATTGTCAGGAGTATCGGAAGCATCATAAACACTCATATTTTGATTGGTAATGGGTTTATAGGTATTAACGCCTAGATTGAACGTGATAGTTCTAAATAAATTATGCATCGAGTAGAAAGTTAATAATATTTTTGTTATATCCCAATGAGTAGGAAAACTATATATCTGACGTCTCGTGACTTAATGTAAGCCACTTCTTTAGAGTAGATAAATCACATTTATAGAACGAGCTATCGGCAAGAATACGGAGCTTAGCGATCAAGAAAGCATTCCTTATGGAGCTGTTTACAACGGTCTTAGACTTTTATTTTCAGAACATTTGACATTGTAGACAAGAACAGTGTTGAACGCCCTAACAGTGACCCACTGTAAATCAGATGTACACATGACAAATCACACCTAAGAGATTAAAGGTTTTAATATACGATAAGAGGATGATAGTAGGTCAACGTATCCGTCTGCATTGTTGTTTCCTTAACTAAAGTCACGATCGCTTTCTAGATAGATCGCCTTAGGTACCAGCCCTTAAATTGAGACCTGCGAATAAGCAGCCTCTCGTGCTTAGTTTACTTAACCAAAAATGGAAGTATCGTCAGTACGCTTTATTGTAACTGAAGTCTTTAGCGACTCCATCATCAAATTCCATGCCAGCAACAGAATAACTGACCCTTAAGCCATGGCCATCTACTACTGTTTATTGACAGTACGAAAGAAAAGCTCTTGGAATCTAATTTAATGCGAGTCTCAATTTCTATTGCTATCCCTCGCACTCTCCCATTAATATACTAATCGTGTAGCTTTTCGGAAACTATTTCTTTCAAACTCTAATAACCGGATGGTCGTAGACATCCCTAACAGAACGAAACGCTGAGATTTCAGAAATCGGATGATTTATAGTTACAGATTGATTGCTGTAAACATCAACACACACCTCTATTTCCTCTAGTGCTTCACACCTTGTCAGTGGAATGACTTCCCTTTAAGCCTCATTAACAATTGGACTTATTCAAACCTAACAAATTATCCCTTTAAAAAAGTAGCACTAAGTATCCTTTATCCCTGTGATAATAAATCACATGATTTACTGCGATACAACACGCAACTGAAATCACAACACTAGGTCACGAATGTCGGAAAACTCGAAGTGTCACCATCAACTTATTTCCTAACATTTATTTTGTATCAGAAATAAGAACTACGTATGCTCTTATTCGCCAAGCTTGCTCAGGGCTTCAAGAGGACTGTAAGTACATAAATAAGCAAAAACAATACATCTTGTCAAATGAACGTTTATTACAATAATTGGTTTCACAGTGTATATTCAGCTAATTTTTTGTCAATGCGTTTGACTAAATGGAATTCTAATTAATGAAATCAAGGAAATGGAAAACGGAATACACGAACATACGTCCCAAAAAGTGAAAACTAGCGGGACTGAGTGGACAACTGGTGTTAGAGCTAATGAGTGAATCAGCAACAACTGAAGTTTCTCACTATTGTGTTATCTATTCCTTTTGGTTTGTCTTGTGATTACAAACCTATTTTACAGTAACGTGCATCGCTCGTGATTAGGTTGAACGGCGCTCGGTCAGTGTCCAGTTATCTCATTACTCCTGATGTTTGTTGATCTGGACAACTAAATTTAACAACGGATATGTAAACCAGTGGTTGAGTATCACTTTAGATGGCAACATCTAATTGAAAAGAAACAACATAAGTAAAAGCTTAAATGAAAATATTTTGAATTTTAAATTATTAACAGCAGCGATTTCAAACTAATGGACTTGAGTTATTCAAAGTCCTAACGTAGCATAGTGAATACTGAATCCAAGAAGGTAGGGATGCAAATCAGGTCATGAATAACATAAAGCTTCACTGTCAGACGTAAACCCCAGCAAAAGGATTGTATTACAACATATGGAATTAACAAGATCTGATTGTTCCAGCTGATAATCATAACAGAGCGACAACTGCAATAAATTCATAAATAATTTTTAAGTAGCACTTAGATGAAAGTCAATTCAAACGCACAATCCAGAGTTTATGTGGTGAGCATATGACTACATAAAAGTACATTTTAGTGGGCATTATTGAGTCGACAATTATCCGGAACGCCTTCACGTTTTGTTATGCAGGGTATTGACTAGCTCGAGTTCATAGATTAGTTTATGTTCCTTAAGTATGACGTCCAGTAGACATTTTCCGTTTCACTTAGGATGCAGAACTTTATTCAAAGGTTGAACACGAAGTTTCTTTCGTAACTGAGTCGACTAGTTGAAGGGAGACTAGGATTTTCGAACATAGGATAAGTGAACTATGACACGATAACCTTTACCTCATCTAAATGGTCAATTTAATCATTAGTTTGGTAAGAACAACTTTATCAGAACTTCGTCATGGAACAATTCATGACGACCGGTAGGCACGAGTAATCATCATATACACAAATGGAAACATGAAGGTGTAAACAATTATACCCAGAAAAGATTTATAGGAAAGTTGAAATGCTGCACGTTATTCGGCTAAGTTGTTACTGAGATTTAACAACAATCCTGGCTAAAAAAATGTACCAGCTTTACCAACAAATACTTCATAGAATGAAAGAGGACTGGATGTAATAATCCTGACCGAAAGAAGCTTTGACAATATCGTCTCGACTCTCAGTTGTTCTGTGTTAAATGAATTGGTTGTACGGTATGATCCCAGCTACGAGACAAAAGTAGCTCAACTTTCTCATAATAGCAAAACAGTATGACTTTGAGGTTGGTAGGTTATCTACTGTCAGTTTACATATCCAAACGCGTATTTAAGACCACAGAATCAAGTTTCCCCTAGCTGGATTACTATGATCAGCAACGTTGTAAACTTTGCAACCAACCTTTATCCTTTCACTTGCATAACACAACTATTAGGTGTCCAAGTCAAACTACATCGAGGGCTGATGTTCGAGTCTTATGGCGACTTCGCTTCCTTGATCAATGTGTTAGACCATTCTGCTATTAATACATTGATTATGAAACGGTAAGTGTATCAATCTTAGGCATACTGATCAGTACCTAATTAAAAACAACGACGTACATCCGTCAGGTAACAATATGAACTATGATGAAAAAATCGCTCAATACCTCTCAATAATTGTCATCTCGTGACAGCAAGTTTGGAAAAGCTACTTCTTAAGTCAACAACACGAACAAGGTTCCATGAAAACTGAAACCTCAGGATGATACAGCAGGCATTAATTATACTACGTATACGTCAAAAGAAAACTTTGAGCACTAGAAACGAATTCCACTAATGGCTTAGTATGAGTATGGATTTCCGATGACGTATTCCAAAATTTCTCTACTAATACAACATGAACACTCCCGAGAACTACTAGCCGTACCAATTGATTACTAAGCATCCTCCAGTCAGTCAGCAACAATGTAGAACTTCGTATATACGCACATCAGTTCGAGTTATCATATCACATAAGAGACGCAATTGCCGACTCAAATCCCATAGTGGTAGATGTTGCAATCGAGAACATTATGGTTTGAGGATGTTATTCAGGGAGTATAAACCATTGAAACAAACTTGGGAAAAACACAGAGTGCATGCACCTGCACAATGCAAGCGATCTAGACGTGTCGTCCTAGGTCGATAGTTGGGCATAGGTACCACATGTCATAGTAATCTCAAATGGACTTCCACTGCCGCATTGGTTGAATTGCCAACCCTACCTAATATATGCATTACTTACTCGGTGGTTCCAGGATATACGAGCAATGCTCCATTGACATCTATGATCGAATATCCTGTACCCTTACCATGTTTCACAATTATATACATTAGGACGGATCGAACTGCTGCGCAGTGAACCCGTCCTTTGGTTTGTCGACGGATATCTAGCCTACGCCATAATTTTGCAAGTTGGTAAAAGCTAGTCGAGCATCTTGTATCCGCACTAAGATCTCGTCGCACACTGGACCACAAGGGACTCTCAAAATAAGTAAAGTGGTTGACATGCTCAACTACTTCTCTCCGTCATTAGTTCAGGTGCCGCTGCAATTCAATCCTAAAGCAACATTTTGCATTTTAACGAGGAAAATAGCATCACGAATATCAATGCAATGTTGCTTAAAGTGGTCAAAAGACTGTATTTAGCTGGTGTCTCCGCCAAATAGAACCTCATCGGGAATATCGTTCATCTGTAGTCCAACGTAAACTTTGGATAGCTGCACGCGAAAAACTAATTTGGTACACGAGATCCGAGCATCACACAGAATTCTGATGATATAAAACTACGTGTAGTAGTAAACTGCCAATGAAATGAAGATTTCTGACTCTAAACAGAACCTCATTACACTATAAATAGGATCACATCCATAAATCGACAAGGTACGTTTGCGAACACGCCTATCACTAGTTTTCCAACTGCCGAGCAATTGATTATGACAATGACATACAAGACTTCATACTTCTAAACAATTCTCTGGATTGAGACTAACTACACTTGCAGTCGAAATTGTGTCGAGTAGGATCGAACACGAACGCTAGTTACAAACGAAATCAAGAAATGATAAGTGTAACTCAACAGAGCGAAGACTAGACCTATCAGTTATCAAGAGGTAGTTAGAACTGACGTCATAATCTCTAACATGCGCAACAATGACATGTCACATGTATTAAACGAAGTCCAAGACTGCCTACTGGAAGACACCCATTGATAGGCATGCTGTTACAAAACATATCTACTTACCATTTGGCGACTGGTCACCTGTCAATCTGACGACTTGATGTAGTAGGGCCAACTTTAACCACGCTACCGAAACCTGTGAGCCAGTTATTATAGGCACGGTCCAACGATTAAGGCCAGTTACATAACATACAAACTACCATAGCAGACTGCCGGAAACTTCGGCGTCGGAATCCCGGACGAGCCCATTTCGGCGAATCCTGCACAGCAGCTTTCCTCGTATTGACGAACACTTGTCATGATTTACTTCAGCAGAACGTCTGATGTCCCGTTTGTACAAGTGACCAATTTCTAACCACTATATGACTTACTCAACTAAGCCCTTGCGACGTGTGATCTGCAAGACTCAACCCTGTAACCCACTCGAACAAATACTGTTGTAATCTAGTTTAGGCAGACTTTGTAAGTCCATTTGAATGACTCAAATCCCTGGTCAAGATAACCATTAGATAAAGTATTTTGGACAGATCGTAATTGCTTCTAACAGACGTTCACGCCAGTGACCTGATACAACTATCTTTCATACGCTAGCCAACACATCTCACAAACCACACATCCTATTATTCCATACATAAAAAAATCAAAAGCCTCTAAACAATGTAACGGGAAAAAGTTTATCAGGAAGCTTATATTTCAGTTTAATGCATTCGCCTTGTCGTGAGTGCAGGGCGAAAGTGTACCGGGGCACTACGACTTTGAGCATCATCTCAAACGGACTTCATTCACGCCTCCACATTGCATCGACTTGCTATATGGCCATAACCATGGCATTTATAGCACTGAGGACCAGAACCTCCACTCTCCGTACAGTCTCTCGCGAAGTGACCATATTTATTACATCTAAAGCAAAGTTACAGTACATCACATCTATTCAATACCTGTAGCACAGCGTATCGCTCATGTCATTTCTGTTATTATTTGGGCAGTTTCGAACGATGTGACCTGACTCACCACAATTGTAACAACGACCACCACCACCACCGCCTCCACCATTATAGCCACTATCACCTCGCTGTCCATCATTTGTACAATCTCGTGCAAAGTGTCCCGTCCCACCACAGTTGTAACATTTGTCTACAATATACAAACAAATACTTAGGCATACTCAGTTGCAACATTGGGATCGCAAAACAATCTACACTAACCACACAACTAGCAACACTCCTTCTGACACATCAACTACACACGATGCCCAGACGTGCATTCAGATATTACGCAGAACGCATCAAACTCACCGCGACCACCATATCCCCCGTAACCACCTCCTCCACCACCACCATAGTGTCCGCGACCACTGGTACAATCTCGAGCAAAATGATCAAGCCCACCGCAGGTGAAACAGCCGTCTGCAAACATAAAAAACTAAGCGTACGCAACTGATCGTTTAGTTGTGAGACATTTCTAAGTGTCACATGACTAATAACTAATTTACTTGTAACACTGTTTATAAGACCGCAAAACGTCTAAACTACACTTACCTCGACGGCCATCGTTATTGTCACGATCTCTTCCACCACCACCGCCACGTCCACCGCGATAACCTCCGCCTCCACCTCTACCACCTCTTGGGGCAGCTTGGCAATCACGAGCATAATGACCGGGACGTCCACATTTATAACAGTCGTCTGACATCTTGAGGGCACACTAACAGACCTTACACTCAAACTCTCAACAGACCACTGAGACCTAGCGGTTCACAGGAAACGAGTATACCTACAAGCGAATAAACAAAGAACAAAATGGTGGTCAACCGATTCATGGTTTCCTAACCTCTTCAGAAATTTAGTTTCTATTTAAAGTTTGACTGAATAGAATCCCTTAGTCTCCAATATATTCATATTTCATTTAGCATATGGAATGAATGTCCAATTCAGATCTCCGATTTGTGTAGTAAGGACAAAAGGGTTACGGCCTATGTTATTCCTTTTGTAGTATGATTCTGTGAGTATCTAGCACTCCATTGAATGAGTCATTTGAAGCTATGGACACCACTGCTTCGGATAAGAGGTTCCAAGAATTAATGACTCGGTGTGAAAACCTGTATACCATGGGTATTTTGTTCGTTCTTGGCTTTTCTACTCGCCCGCTATGTCTTTTGAGATGTCCCAATCTGGTGAGAAAAAAAAGAGGGTATTTATTGAGTCAAAAATCATTTCTTAGTATTCTATACATCAAAATCAGTTCACCTCTTAATCTGCGACAGGACGGTGAAAAGAGGTCTAGCTTTTCAAGCCGCTCTTTGTATAGTAAACCACGGAGTTTCGAGATTACGCGGGTAGCTGCCCTCTGTACTTTTTCCAGGATATCCGAGTTGCCTTTTAAACGGGGGCTTGCTGCCTGAACTCAGTTTTCAAGCTTAGTTCTCACTATGGTTGTGTATACTGTAGTGAACATAATAGTATCTAACTTGATGATCTTTTTGACTATTCCTTCTAGTACTTCAACTACGACACTGGTTAGGTTGATATGTCTGTAGTTCGATGGAAGTTTTCTTGGTACTGCTTTGTGTATGGGATGGACGATTGCATTCTTCCAGTCCATATGTAACACACCTTGGCCATGTGACATATTGAATATCACAGTTGGTGGGGTTGCATCATATTATGCAATTATCCTGAGGATTTTGGGGTGTAGTTCATCCGGTTTTGTTGACTTTTCCGTGTCTAAAGTACATCGTTTGGACTTTGTATTTGGGCTTACTTCTTCATCTAGAAGAGGCTCCTGAGTGAAAACTGACCCGAAATTATTGGTCATAGCCTCTACTTTTTCCTGGTCATTTTCTATCATTTGAGATCCACTCCCTTCTGCAATTGTATTGGGAAACCAATGCTGCATCCTTGTTTTGTAATTTATATACGAGGTTGATCTCTTAGGCTGTTGGATTGCAGATTATGCCAACTGCATTTCATATTTTCTCTGAGATTCCCGGATTTTAATTATGCACTTATTTCCTTCCGATCTGTAGCGTTCCATAGCACTTGCTGTGCCAAGGCTTTTGGCAACGTTCCAACATTTTTCCTTCCGTCTTAATAAACGTCGAATATCCGGGTCTATCCAGGGATGACCTTGCTTTTCTCTTCTTTTGGACTGTCCAGAGTATATGTGGTTGAGTTACCTGGTTGTATAACTGCCTGTCCATACCTCTTCTACTGATGCGCCGGAGTCAGTTATACGGTTTTCAGCCGATTCTACAGGATTTATCGCCTCTGTGTCTGCCTTCCTCATGTTAGGACGGCCGGCGCAACTACTTAACAGGCCATCTCAACCATAAACCTGCATAGGATGACTGTGTGATCACTTCTCCCTATAGCTGGGGGAAAGTCATTTGACGTACATCATAATCGTGAGGGAAGACTAAGTCCAAGAAAAACGAGGCGCTTCGTGATTCATATCTGGTGGGACCTCTAATGTACTGAAATAAAGCTAGGGCAATTGTCGTTTCCAACAATTAGCAATCTAACGACATTGTCGATGACTCTACTTCTAAGTTTACACAGTTTATATACGACACAGTAAAGCCGCATACTATAAGGCTTTTACCCCTATTGCACCATCTACTACACATTCTGGACTGCGGCATACTACAAGTAATTCAATATCTTACCGTCTACCTTTCAACCTGCAACACACCAGTTCACATATCCCTGAATAGTGTGCCACTGTTTCAACAGTTCGTATGGTTAGGGTACTATTTGTGTACTTGATAACCCAACCTCCTCCACGGTTTAGTCTATCAGCTCTACTGGATAAAAATACAGTTGACTAAATTTCATTATCAAAAACTTCTGACGTTTACCGATGACGTTAACAGCAATGGCAGCCGGTTTTTCTGTATCCGTCATTGTGTTGAGCTCCGCCATTTTATTTAGTAGGCTGCAAGCATTTGAGTAGCACATCTTTAATTCTGTGTAAAACTTTCACTTACCACCCACAGTGGTTTAGGAATCGTTTTGCTCCGAACGTTTACAATCTGTAGACCCTTTATTATGAGATTTCTTTCATTATCTCGGCGGCGCTCATTCATTCCTACGTCTACCAATCGTCTCTTAATATGGCCAGCCAGACTGAGATCCTCAGGGACGTATATTCCGTATCCAATCAGTTTGTGTGAGTTTCTCAGTACCAGGTTCCTTTCTTCAGCCGAAGCAAAAGTAACCTTCAAGAGGCGGCTTTTCTGAGTACTTTTGGGATCCACCTTTTGTCCTATTCTATAAAGCTTAAAGATGCTAACTCCTGAAACTGTTTCTGGGAGTAGCTTGCTTATTAAGGACTAAATGTGCCTGAGATCGTGCTCAAATCTAGCCTTTGGTTCCTTTTCGGAAGATCCTCATAACCTATGAAAAATGACTGACCTGTTAGCCGATCCATCTTAACACGTGGAATTTCAATTCCTTAAATCTTCTCCTGCCTACGATCCGATTCCGATTTGGCGTCAGACGCAGAGGACTCCCTCTGTTTTCTAACTCTTTATTCTGAGTGTGACTGTAAGCCAATTCGGTACCTTATTTTGTCTCTTGATCACATCCTGTATAAAGCTCAGACTTTGCTCCCCCGTAGTCTGTTTTGAGTTGATATGTGAATACGTGACTGTAACCGTAGATTCACAAATCTTAGTACTGTCTATATTAAGTTTTTTTTTCAGCATGCTTTTTCTCTTTCCTTGTAACAATGCCTACATTGATATGCTTGTTTTCTGCTTCCTAATGGGGTCCACATTTATGCTTTCATTTGAATCCAGAGCTGGGCCCATGATGACGCTCGCTAGTTCCTCAGAAGCCGAACTCTGCTCATATAATGCTACCTGTTTACTTGGGGGCAATTTTCTAGCTATGTTCAGCAGCTCAATCGCCTCAAGAATCCGCAGATTTTGTGGAACAACATGCTTTGCACAGCCAACGTGATAATGGCTTGCAGCTGATGTGAGTCCAGTGCATACATTGTGATACCACTCACTGCAGTTACCACAAAGAATCTCGCTATTGTCAGTGAAACAGCATGCAGGTCTGACACAAGGATGTTTTACTTGCCCCATAAATTATTTTTATGGTCTCACAGCAAAATTTGATCTTTACATAGGTGTCTTTTAGGGCTTGATAGGTGATAGACACGGAACACAAACAAAAACAGAGGTTTGTGTATAACTGTACCTAACTACAACGAAAACTCCGAGTTCTGTAGTTACAAAAAGACCTAAACACCTTTGGATACAAACAACACTAAAAGGTATACTGAACGAGGAGAAATAAATACCAGCACTCTTTGATTTTTGTATCTTTACTTCAACTGAAATAAATTCAATTAAAGCAAAGACAGTAGTCTTGATGTATGATTTAACGAACAATACTATAAAATATACTTGGAGGAAAAATACCACTGACCTCTGAACTGATGACCATTGTTTTGGTTTGAGTAAGTAATTCTAAAACGCCAGGTAATTTATACTTGTCCTATAAAGTTTTTTCTTTCAATCGATCCTTTTTCATACTACCAGCATCAGCTGACAGTACCGTTTTTAAGCGTTCTACAGTTACTGTGAGATACACATCGCCAGACTTGTTCATTCCAGAAGCCTGTTCAAGACTTTCACATTTTACCTCAGTCAGTCGATTTTATACGTGAGGTTAATACGAGGATAGTAAGGATTGAAACATGAATACGCCTTACTACGTATGGTGACAACCGAAAGGTAACAAGACAATATCATCAATGCATAGTTTAAGGAATCATTATTTATCGCAATGGAAAGTCTTTTGATTGCCCAGAATCCTCATGCATAGTAGGGCACCGTAGTCTGCTGAACTGTCTACTTCTCAACAAATGGTTTATTTTTAGCATGTTCCAGGCCGAAACTGAACTCCCAAAAGCCTAGAATGCCTTCTCATTAGTCATACGTTCAAGACTGTAGATCAACAGCCCGTATCTAACAATCGAACCTTCATACTGGCCGGTATGGCTGTATTAGCTTTACAAACATTCTGGATAAGTTGATCGGTCTTGTGAGATCGTAGAAAACTAACTTGACGAAAGGATTATCATTTTCGAAGGGTCATAAATTCATTGTTTGGATTGGAAAGCCTGTAGTGATAGGTGGACTTAAAACTTAAGTAGTTTCGTAAGTCTTTGACGTTGACACTGACCTGACTAGTTTTGCAGTACGTATCTTTAGCTAAAGACTCTTGATTGGGCATTTGCACTAGACCATGTTTGGGTGATCCGTCTTACTAATCTCTTCGTACCACAAGTCAGTTTATATTGCATACACACTGAAACTATTACACTTATCCACATATATTTTTGCATCCCTCTATTCTGAACATTTGATTTAACTGTCATTACGAATCCTTGAGTTAGAAGAGGTTTCAGACAATGGCGTTGTTGTAATCTGTGTGCCGGTGACACTTTCAAGCTCATCAAGTTGATAAGACGAGTTATCATGGCACGATTTCAACCAGCAGTGACGGTGATGAAAATTGTACATATGTACGTGACGAATTGTTACTGCATGTTTATTCACGTTTTGATTGGATTTAAGAAGCAAAGTTGATGGCGTTTAATTTAGCGAGCTTTTCCCAGAGAGTAATAGTAATATATTTCTGCATGTGCAGGTACACGCCATTTTTACAGGTATGATC